TCCATTGACTCCATCCCTGTCTGATCCCATTGATCCCCTCAACCCCATCCCAGCCTGATCCCATTGATTCTATTGACCCCATTCCCATCTGATCCCATTGATCCCCTCAACCCCATCCCTGCATGATCCCATTGATCCCATCCTTGTTCCTATCCCATCCCATTGATCCCATCCATCCTATCCCTACCTGATCCCATTGACCCCATCAACCCCATCCCTGCCTGATCCCATTGATCCCATCCCTGTTCCCATCCCATCCCTGTTCCCATCCCATCCCTGCCTGATCATATCGATCCCATCCCATCCCATCCCTGTTCCCATCCATCCCATTCCATTGATACCATTGATCCCATCCCTGTTCCCATCCCATTGATCCCATCCCATCCCTGTTCCCTTCCCATCCCGTTGATCCCATTGATCCCATCCCTGTTCCCATCCCATCCCTGTTCCCATCCCATTGATCCCATCTCATTGATCCCATCCCTGTTCCCATCCCATCCCTGTTCCCATCCCATCCCATTGATCCCATCCCTGTTCCCATCCCATTGATCCCATCCCTGTTCCCATCCCATCCCGTTGATCCCATTGATCCCATCCTTGTTCCCATCCCATCCCTGTTCCCATCCCATCCCATTGATCCCATTGACCCCATCCCATCGCTCTGACCCCGTCTCTCCCATAGGATATGGATTATTCCCGGATCATTGAGCGGCTCCTCAAGCTGGCCGTGAGTGCCTGCACCCTGGGGGGGGGGGGGGTGTCCCACTGACCCCATCCCTGCCTGATCCCATTGACCCCATCCCTGCCTGATCCCATTGATCCCATCCCTGCCTGATCCCATTGATCCCATTGACCCCATCAACCCAATTGACCCCATCAATCCCATCGATCCCATCAATCCCGTTGACTCTGTCGACCCTGTTGACCCTATTGATCCCATTGATCCCATTGACCCCATTGATCCCATCGTTCCCATTGATCCCATCGACCCCATTGATCCCATCGACCCCATTGATCCCATCGACCCCATTGTTCCCATTGATCCCATTGACCCCATTGAACCCATTGTTCCCATTGACCCCATCGACCCAATTGTTCCCATTGATCCCATTGACCCCATTGAACCCATCGTTCCCATTGTTCCCATTGTTCCCATTGACCCCATTGATCCCATTGACCCCATTGAACCCATTGTTCCCATTGACCCCATCGACCCCATTGTTCCCATTGATCCCATTGACCTCATTGAACCCATCGTTCCCATTGACCCCATTGTTCCCATTGTTCCCATTGATCCCATTGACCCCATTGAACCCATTGTTCCCATTGACCCCATCGTTCCCATCGACCCCATTGTTCCCATCGATCCCATTGACCCCATTGTTCCCATTGGCCCCATCGTTCCCATTGACCCCATTGTTCCCGTTGACCCCCTTTGATCCCATTGACCCCATTGACCCCCTTTGATCCCATTGACCCCATCGACCCCATCACCCCCATTGTTCCCATCGACCCCATCACCCCCATTGTTCCCATTGACCCCATCGACCCCATCACCCCCATTGTTCCCATCGACCCCATCACCCCCATTGTTCCCATTGACCCCATCGACCCCATCAACCCCATTGTTCCCATTGACCCCCTTTGATCCCATTGACCCCATCGACCCCATCAACCCCATCGATCCCATTGACCCCATCGACCCCATCATTCCCATTGCCCCCCAGGTCCCGAACCACCTCATCTGGCTCATCTTCTTCTATTGGTTCTTCCACTCCTGCCTCAACGTCGTGGCCGAGCTGATGCAGTTTGGGGACCGGGAATTCTACCGGGATTGGTGGTGAGGCTCCAGGGATGCAGCGGGATCAAGGGGGGGGGGGGGGGGGGGGGAACCCCCCCAATCCGGATGTGATTCCCAACCCCCCCCCCCAATTCCCATCAGGAACTCGGAATCCGTCACCTACTTCTGGCAGAACTGGAACATCCCCGTCCACAAGTGGTGCCTCAGGTACCCCCCCCCCCCCAAACCCTGTTAATGGGAACCACCCCAACCCTGTTAATGGGAACCACCCCAACCCTGTTAATGGGAACCACCCCAACCCCATTAAAGGGACCCCCCCCAACCCTGTTAATGGGAACCCCCCCAAACCCTGTTAATGGGAACCACCCCAACCCTATTAATGGGAACCCTCCCCCAAACCCTGTTAATGGGAACCCACAGAACCCTGTTAATGGGAACCCTCCCCCAAACCCTGTTAATGGGAACCCACCCAACCCTGTTAATGGGACCCCCCCCCAAACCCCATTAATGGGACCCCCCCCCCAAACCCCATTAAAGGGACCCCCCCAACCCTGTTAATGGGACCCCCCTCCCCACCCCTGTTAATGGGAACCACCCCAACCCCGTTAATGGGAACCACCCCAAACCCTGTTAATGGGAACCCCCCCAACCCTGTTAATGGAAACCACCCCCAACCCTGTTAATGGGAACCCCCCCAACCCCGTTAATGGGACCCCCCCCCTCAGCACTGTTAATGGGACCCCCCCCAACCCCGTTAATGGGACCCCCCCAACCCTGTTAATGGGACCCCCCCCCCCCAGCCCTGTTAATGGGAACCCCCCCAACCCCATTAATGGGAACCACCCCAAACCCTGTTAATGGGAGCCCCCCCAAGCCTGTTAATGGGAACCACCCCAAACCCTGTTAATGGGACCCTCCCCACCCCTGTTAATGGGACCCCCCCAAACCCCTTTAATGGGACCCCCCCCAACCCTGTTAATGGGACCCCCCCCCAACCCTGTTAATGGGAACCACCCCAAACCCTGTTAATGGGACCCCCCCAACCCTGTTAATGGGAACCACCCCAAACCCTGTTAATGGGACCCCCCCCAACCCTGTTAATGGGACCCCCCCCAAACCCTGTTAATGGGACCCCCCCCAACCCTGTTAATGGGAACCACCCCAAACCCTGTTAATGGGACCCTCCCCACCCCTGTTAATGGGACCCCCCTCCCACCCCATTAATGGGACCCCCCCCAACCCTGTTAATGGGACACCACCCCCAACCCTGTTAATGGGAACCCCCCCAATCCCTGTTAATGGGACCCCCCCCCCAACCCTGTTAATGGGAACCACCCCAAACCCTGTTAATGGCACCCTCCCCACCTCTGTTAATGGGACCCCCCTCCCACCCCATTAATGGGACCCCCCCCAACCCTGTTAATGGGATACCAAAGGGACCCCCAACCCTGTTAATGGGACACCACCCCCAACCCTGTTAATGGGAACCCCCCCCAAACCCCGTTAGTGGGACCCCCCTCCCACCCCATTAATGGGAACCCCCCCCAAACCCCTTTAATGGGAACCCCCCCCAAACCCCGTTTATGGGAACCCCCCCATGAACCCCGTTTTTGGGGACCCCCCAACCCCATTTTTGGGTGCTGGGTCCCCTTTGAACCCCATTTATGGGGTCCTGACCCCCATATTTTGGGTGCTGGGCCCCTTTGAACCCCATTTATGGGGTCCTGCCCCCCATATTTTGGGTGCTGGGCCCCCTTGAGCCCCATTTATGGGGTCCTGCCCCCCATATTTTGGGTGCTGGGTCCCCTTTGAACCCCATTTATGGGGTCCTGCCCCCAATTTTTTGGGTGCTGGGCCCCCTTGAACCCCATTTATGGGGTCCTGCCCCCCATTTTTGGGGTGCTGGGTCCCCCTTGAACCCCATTTATGGGGTCCTGCCCCCCATTTATGGGGTCCTGCCCCCCATATTTTGGGTGCTGGGTCCCCCTTGAACCCCATTTATGGGGTCCTGCCCCCCATTTATGGGGTCCTGCCCCCCATATTTTGGGTGCTGGGTCCCCTTTGAACCCCATTTATGGGGTCCTGCCCCCCATTTATGGGGTCCTGCCCCCCATATTTTGGGTGCTGGGTCCCCCTTGAACCCCATTTATGGGGTCCTGCCCCCCATTTATGGGGTCCTGCCCCCCATATTTTGGGTGCTGTGCCCCTTTGAACCCCATTTATGGGTCCTGCCTCTGCCCCCCATTTATGGGGTCCTGCCCCCCATATTTTGGGTGCTGGGTCCCCTTTGAACCCCATTTATGGGGTCCTGCCCCCCATTTATGGGGTCCTGCCCCCCACTTATGGGGTCCTGCCCCCCATTTTTGGGGTGCCCCCCAGGCACTTCTACAAGCCGATGCTGAGGCGTGGGGCCAGCCGCTGGGCTGCTCAAGTGGCCGTGTTCCTGGCGTCCGCCTTCTTCCATGAGGTCAGTTTGGGGGGGCCCCTGCCCCACTGCGCCCCACAACCCCACTGCACCCCCCCCCCCCCCCCCCCCCTTGCTATGGGGCTGAGCCCCCCCCATATCCCTGCAGTACCTGGTGAGCGTCCCCCTCAAGATGTTCCGGCCATGGGCGTTCATGGGGATGGTGGCGCAGGTAGGGGGGGACCCCTAAAATGGGGGGGGACCCCTAAAGTGTGTGTGGGGGGACCTCTAAAGTGGGGGGGACCCCTAAAATGGGGGGGACCCCTAAAGTGGGGGGGGAGTACCCCTAAAGTGTGTGTGGGGGGACCCCTAAAGTGGGGGGGACCCCTAAAGTGGGGGGGGACACCCCTAAAATGGGGGGTGCCCCTAAGGTGGGGGGGAACCCCTAAAGTGTGTGGGGGGGTATCCCTAAAGTGTGTGTGGGGTATCCCTAAAGTGTGGGGGGTATCCCTAAAGTGTGGGGGGGACCCCTAAAGTGGGGGGGGTACCTCTAAAATGGGGGGGGACCCCTAAAATGGGGGGGTACCCCTAAAATGGGGGGGACCCCTAAAGTGGGGGGGTGCCCCTAAATTGGGGGGGGTTACACCTAAAATGGGGGGTGCCCCTAAAATGGGTGGGGGGGGCTAAAAGGGGGGGTAGCCCTTAAGTGGGGGGCACCCATAAAATGGGGGAGGGGCACAACTAAAGAGGGGGGAGCACCCAAGGGGGGGGCACCCCTAAAGTGTGTGGGGGGCAATCCTGAAGTGGGGGGGGTACCCATAGAATGTGGGGAGGGCACCCCTAAAGGGGGGGGGGCACCCATGAAGTGTGGGGGGGGTACCCCTAAAGGGGAGGGGCACCCCTAAAGTAGGGGTGGGCACCTGAGGAGGGGGCACCTCTAAAGGGGGGAGGGGTAGCCCTAAAGTAGTGGGGGGCACCCATAAAGTAGGGGGGGGGCCACCCCAAACCTGGGTCCGGGCCCCCCCATCCCAAGATCCCATTGGAGCCCTTCCTGCATCCCCCATCCCAAGCCCCTCCCTGGGTCCCTCTGGTCCCACTCAGCAGAGGGGCAGGATCCAATTCCCAAAGATCCTGGAGCTCAATCCCCCCCCACCATCCCCACCCCCATTCCCCCCCCCCCCCCCCATTTCCCCCCCCATCCCATTCCCCCCCCATCTCCCCCATTTCCTCCCATTCCCACCCCTTTCCCCCCGATTCCCACCCCATCCCCATCCCATTCCCCCCCCATTGCCCCGCATCCCCCCCATTCCCCCCCATTCCCACCCCATCCCATTCACCCCCCATCCCCACCCCATCCCCCCCATTCCCCCCCCATCCCCACCCCATTCCCCCCCATTCCCCATCCCCACCCATTCCCCCCATCCCCATCCTATTTCCATCCCATCCCCATCCCATTCCCCCCCATTCCCCCCCATCCCCACCCCATCCCCCCCATTCCCCCCCCATTCCCCCCATCCTATTTCCATCCCCATCCCATTCCTCCCCATTCCCATCCATCCCTCCATCTCCATCCCCATTCCCCCCCATTCCCCCCCCATTCCTCCCCCATTCCCCCCCCATCCCCCCCATCCCCATCCTATTTCCATCCCCATCCCATTCACCCCCCATCCCCCCCCATCCCCATCCTATTTCCATCCCCATCCCATTCCCACCCCATTCCCCCCATTCCCCCCCATTTCCCCCCATTCCTCCCCCATTCCCACCCCATCCCCCCCATCCCCATTCTATTTCCATCCCCATCCCATTCACCCCCCATCCCCCCCATCCCCATCCTATTTCCATCCCCCATCCCGTTCCCCCCCCATTCCCCCCCATTCCTCCCCCATTCCCACCCCATCCCCCCCCATCCCCATTCTATTTCCATCCCCATCCCATTCACCCCCCATCCCCATCCTATTTCCATTCCCTCCCCATTCCCCCCCATTCCCCCCCCATTCCCCCCCATCCCCACCCCATCCCCCCCATTCCCCACCCCATTCCCCCCATCCCCATCCTATTTCCATCCCCATCCCATTCCTCCCCCATTCCCCCCCATTCCCCCCCATTCCTCCCCCATTCCCCCCCATTCCTCCCCCATTCCCACCCCATCCCCCCCCATCCCCATCCTATTTCCATCCCCATCCCGTTCCCACCCCATTCCCCCCCATCCCCATCCTATTTCCATCCCCATCCCATTCACCCCCATCCCCATCCTATTTCCATTCCCTCCCCATTCCCCCCATCCCCCCCCCATTCCCCCCCATCCCCACCCCATCCCCCCCATTCCCCACCCCATTCCCCCATCCCCATCCTATTTCCATCCCCATCCCATTCCTCCCCCATTCCCCCCCATTCCTCCCCCATTCCCCCCCATTCCTCCCCCATTCCCACCCCATCCCCCCCCATCCCCATCCTATTTCCATCCCCATCCCATTCCTCCCCCATTCCCCCCCATTCCCCCCCATTCCTCCCCCATTCCCCCCCATTCCTCCCCCATTCCCACCCCATCCCCCCCCATCCCCATCCTATTTCCATCCCCATCCCGTTCCCACCCCATTCCCCCCCATCCTATTTCCATCCCCATCCCATTCACCCCCCATCCCCCCCCATCCCCATCCCCATTCCCCCCCATTCCTCCCCATTCCCACCCCATCCCCCCCATCCCCATCCTATTTCCATCCCCATCCCATTCACCCCCCATCCCCCCCCCATCCCCATCCTATTTCCATCCCCATCCCATTCACCCCCCATCCCCATTCCTCCCCCATTCCCACCCCATTCCCCCCCATCCCCATCCTATTTCCATCCCCATCCCATTCACCCCCCATTCCCCCCCCATCCCCATCCTATTTCCATCCCCATTCCCCCCCATCCCCCCCAGATCCCTCTGGCCTGGTTCGTGTCCAAGTTCCTGCGTGGAATTACGGGAATGCCGCCGTGTGGCTCTCGCTCATCCTGGGCCAGCCAATCGCCGTCCTCATGTACGTGCACGACTACTACGTCCTCAACGCCGAGGGCCGCCCCTGAGCGGCGCCGCTCCCGGGGGATCCATGGGAGTTGTTCCCAGTGGGATCCATGGGAGTCATTCCCAATGGGATCGATGGGAGTCGTTCACAGTGGGATCCATGGGAGTCATTCACAATGGGATCCATGGGAGTCATTCACAATGGGATCCATGGGCGTCGTTCCCAATGGGATCCATGGGAGTCGTTCACAATGGGATCCATGGGAGTCGTTCACAATGGGATCCATGGGAGTCGTTCCCAATGGGATCCATAGGAGTCGTTCACAATGGGATCCGTGGGCATCATTCCCAATGGGATTGATGGGCGTCGTTCACAATGGGATCCATGGGAGTCGTTCACAATGGGATCCATGGGTACCACTCCCAATGGGATCAATGGGAGTCGTTCCCAATGGGATCCATGGGAGTTGTTCACAATGGGATCCGTGGGAGTCGTTCACAATGGGATCTGTGGGCGTCGTTCCCAATGGGATCGATGGGAGTTGTTCCCAATGGGATCCATGGGTGTCGTTCCCAATGGGATCCATGGGAGTTGTTCACAATGGGATCCGTGGGCATCATTCCCAATGGGATTGATGGGCGTCGTTCACAATGGGATCCATGGGAGTCGTTCACAATGGGATCCATGGGTACCACTCCCAATGGGATCAATGGGAGTCGTTCCCAATGGGATCGATGGGAGTTGTTCACAATGGGATCCATGGGTGTCGTTCCCAATGGGATCGATGGGCGTCGTTCACAATGGGATCGATGGGAGTCGTTCACAATGGGATCCGCGGGAGTCGTTCCCAGTGGGATCCGCGGGAGTTGTTCCCAGTGGGATCGATGGGAGTCGTTCACAATGGCATCGATGGGCGCCGCTCCCATGGGATCAATGGGAGTCGTTCCCAATGGGATCAATGGGCGCCGCTCCCATGGGATCGATGGGCGCCGTTCCCAATGGGATCGTTGGGAGTCGTTCCCAATGGGATCGATGGGCGCTGTTCCCAGTGGGATCAATGGGCACCGTTCCCTGGGATCTGCAGGAGTTGTTCCCAATGGGATCGATGGGCGCCCTTCCCAATGGGATCCGCAGGCACCGGTCCCATGGGATCGATGGGCGCCGTTCCCAATGGGATCAATGGGAGTTGTTCCCAATGGGATCCACGGGAGTCGTTCCCAATGGGATTGATGGGCGCCCTTCCCAATGGGATCGATGGGAGTTGTTCCCAATGGGATCAATGGGCACCATTCCCTGGGATCTGCAAGAGTCGCTACCAATGGGATCGATGGGTGCCGTTTCCAATGGGATCGATGGGCGCCGTTCCCAATGGGATCGATGGGCACCCTTCCCAATGGGATCCGCAGGAGTCATTCCCAGTGGGATCGATGGGAGTCAGTCCCAATGGGATCGATGGGAGTCGTTCCCTGGGATCTGCGGGAGTCAGTCCCAGTGGGATCGATGGGCGCCTTTCCCAATGGGATTGATGGGCGCCCTTCCCAATGGGATCGATGGGCGCCGTTCCCTGGGATCTGCAGGAGTCGGTACCTATGGGATCGATGGGTGCCGTTTCCAATGGGATCAATGGGCACCGTTCCCAATGGAATCGATGGGCGCCCTTCCCAATGGGATCCGTGGGAGTCATTCCCAATGGGATCAATGGGCGCCCTTCCCAATGGGATCGATGGGCGCCGTTCCCAACGGCATCACCCGGCACCATTCCCAATGGGATTGATGAGCACCATTCCCAATGGATCGGCAGGCAATATTCCCAATGGGATTGACGGGCACAGTTCCCAACGGCATCACCCGGCGCCATTCCCAATGGGATCGATGGGCACCATTCCCAATGAGATTGATGGGCGCCGTTCCCAATGAGATCGACCAGCGCCATTCCCAATGGGATCGATGGGCACCGTTCCCAATGAGATCGACTAGCACCATTTCCAATATGATCGACGGGCGCCATTCCCAACGGCATCACCCGGTGCCATTCCCATTGGGATTGACGGGCACCATTCCCAATGGATCGGCAGGCAATATTCCCTAATGGGATTGACAGGCTCCATTCCCAATGAGATCAACCAGCGCCATTCCCAATGGGATTGACAGGCACCATTCCCAAAGAGATCGACCAGCGCCATTCCCGATGGGATTGACAGGCACCATTCCCAAAGAGATCGACCAGCACCATTCCCAATGGGATTGATGGACACCATTCCCAAAGAGATGACCAGCGCCATTCCCAATGGATCGGCAGGCAATATTCCCAAGGGAATCGATGGGCGCCATTCCCAATGGGATCGATGGGCATCATTCACCATGAGATCGGTGGGCGCTGTTCCTAGTGGGATGAATGGGCACTGTTCCCATGGGATCAACGGGAGCCATTTGCAATGGAATCAACGGGAGCCATTCCCAATGGGATCGATGGGCGCCGTTCCCAATGGGATCAACGGGAGCTGTTCCCAATGGGATCAACGGGCACCATTCCCAATGGGATCGATGGGCAGCATTCCCAATGGGATCAGCAGGCGATATTCCCAGTGGGATCAAGGGGCGCTGTTCCCAATGGGATCAATGGGCACCATTCCCAATGGCATCAACTGGCATCACTCCCAATGGGATCGACGGGTGGCATTCCTGGTGGGATGCACAGGCACCGTTCCCAATGAGATCGATGGCCACCATTCCCAATGAGATCAATGGGCACCGTTCCCAATGGGATCGATGGGAGCCATTCCCAATGGGATCCATGGGCGCTGTTCCCAATGGGATCAACCGGTGTCACTCCCAATGGGATCAGCGCGCACCATTCCCAATGGGATCGGCAGGCAGCATTCCCAATGGGATCGACGGGCGCCTTTTGCAATGGGATCAACAGGCACCGTTCCCAATGGGATCAACAGGGTGGCATTCCCAATGGGATCGACGGGCGCCGTTCCCAATGAGATCGACAGGTGGCATTCCCAACGGGATCGATGGGTGCCATTCCCAATGGGATGGATGCCGTTCATAATGGAATCAGCAGGCGCTGTTCCCAATGGGATCGATGGGCGCCGTTCCTGATGGGATCCACCAGTGCCATTCCCAATGGGATCAGCAGGCGATATTCCTGATGGGATCCACCAGTGCCATTCCCAATGGGATCGATGGGCAGCATTCCCAATGGGATCAGCAGGCGATATTCCCAATGGGATCAATGGGTGCTGTTCCCAATGAGATCAACGGGTGCCGCTCCAAATGGGATCAACCGGCGCCATTCCCAATGGGATCAACGGGAGAAGGTCCCAGTGAGATCGACGGGTGCCGTTCCCAATGGGATCAATGGACACCATTCCCAATGGGATCGGTGGGCGGCATTCCCAACAGGATCGATGGGTTCCGTTCCCAATGGGATCAACCGGCGCCATTCCCAATGGAATCAGCACCACAGCGGAGCCCGCGGCTGCCTTGGAGGTGCCTTGAAGGCCTTGGGATGAGGTTGGGAATGGGCTCCACAATTCCCACTTGGAATGGCGAGGGGTGGGGGGGGGAGGGGGGGGGGTCAGCTCCCAAATAAAAGTGGCTTTTTTCCAAGTTTTCCAAGTCCAGTGCAGGGTTTTTATGGGGCTGGGAATGCCCAAACTGGGATCGGGAATCTTCCAACTGGGAGCGGAGCCCAGAAACCAGGTTTGAGGAGCCCCAAACTGGGATCAGGATCCAGGAACTGGGATGCAGCATCCCCAAACTGGGATCAGGATCCATAAATTGGGATGCAGCGTCCCCAAACTGGGATCAGGATCCATAAATTGGGATGTGGCATCCCCAAGCTGGGATCAGGATCCATAAATTGGGATGCAGCACCCCCAAACTGGGATCAGGATCCAGGAACTGGGATGCAGCATCCCCAAGCTGGGATCAGGATCCATAAATTGGGATGTGGCATCCCCAAACTGGGATTAGGATCCAGGAACTGGGAATGCAGCACCCCCAAACTGGGGTCAGGATCCATAAACTGGGATGCAGCATCCTCAAACTGGGGCTGGGAATGCCCCAAAAGGGATCAGGATCCATAAATTGGGATGCAGCGTCCCCAAGCTGGGATCAGGATCCATAAACTGGGATGCAGCATCCTCAAACTGGGATCAGGATCCATAAATTGGGATGCGGCATCCCCAAACTGGGATCAGGATCCAGGAACTGGGATGCAGCATCCTCAAACTGGGGCTGGGAATGCCCCAAAAGGGATCAGGATCCATAAATTGGGATGCAGCGTCCCCAAACTGGGATCAGGATCCATAAATTGGGATGCAGCATCCCCAAACTGGGATCAGGATCCAGGAACTGGGAATGCAACATCCCCAAACTGGGACCGGGAACCCCAAAACCGGGATTGGGAACCCCACAACTGGGTCCGTCCCCCCCACATCCCAAGATCCCTTTGGAGCCGTTCCAGCTCCCATCCCCACATCCCTCATCCCAAGATCCCTTTGGAGCCGTTCCTGCTCCCATCCCCGCATCCCTCATCCCAAGATCCCTTTGGAGCCGTTCCTGCTCCCATCCCCACATCCCTCATCCCAAGATCCCATTGGAGCCGTTCCTGTTCCCATCCCCGCATCCCTCATCCCAAGATCCCTTTGGAGCCGTTCCTGCTCCCATCCCCACATCCCTCATCCCAAGATCCCTTTGGAGCCGTTCCTGCTCCCATCCCCACATCCCTGATCCCAAGATCCCTTTGGAGCCGTTCCTGCTCCCATCCCTTCATCCCTCATCCCAAGATCCCTTTGGAGCCGTTCCTGCTCCCATCCCCACATCCCTCATCCCAAGATCCCTTTGGAGCCATTCCTGCTCCCATCCCCACATCCCTCATCCCAGGATCCCTTTGGAGCCGTTCCTGCTCCCATCCCTGCATCCCTCATCCCAAGATCCCATTGGAGCCGTTCCTGCTCCCATCCCTCATCCCAAGCCCCTCTCCGGGCAGCAGTGGGGCAGGAGCCCAATCCCGCCCCATTCCCGCCCCATTCCCGCCCCATTCCCGCCCCATTCCCATCCCTTCCCCCTCCTTTAGGGCCATACAAAATAAATCTTTATTCTTCATCTCGTAGCTCTCCCCTCCCCCCCCTCCCCTCCCCCCCCCGTCCCCTCCCCCATGGGACTGGGTTGGGGGGGGGCCGGGCTCCGGCTCAAGGCTGGGCCCCGGCTGCGGGCAGGGGGGAGCCCGCGGTGGGGGGCGGGGGGGCGTTGGCGGCCGGGGCCATGGGGCTGCTCCCTGCGGGGGGAACACCGGGAATGGGGGGGGGCGGCTCCTGCTCGGACCCCCGGCAGGGAGCAGCCAGGGAGGGAGCGCGGGATTTAGGGGGAAAACCACACTGCCCATCCCCCCCCACCACATCCATCCCATCCCCCACCCTACCCCATCCCATCCCCCCCATCCCATCCATCCCATCCATCCCATCCCATCCCCCACCCCATCCATCCCATCCCATCCCATCCATCCCATCCCCCCCCACCACATCCATCCCATCCCCCACCCTACCCCATCCCATCCCCCCCATCCCATCCATCCCATCCCATCCCCCACCCCATCCATCCCATCCCATCCCATCCATCCCATCCCCCCCCACCACATCCATCCCATCCCCCACCCTACCCCATCCCATCCAACCCCATCCCACCCCCATCCATCCCATCCCCCCCCCACCATATCCATCCCATCCCCCACCCTACCCCATCCCATCCAACCTCATCCCACCCACATCCCATCCCCCACCCCATCCATCCCCCCCCATCCCATCCCATCCATCCCATCCCATCCCCATCTCATCCCATTTATCCCATCCCCCCCATCCCATCCCCATTTATCCCACCCCCCCATCCCATCCCCCCCATCCCATCCCATCCATCCCCCCCCATCCCATCTCCCCCACCCCATCCATCCCATCCCCCATCCCATCCCATCCATCCTCATCCATCCCATTTATCCCATCCCATTCATCCCATCCTCCCCCATCCCCCCATCCCATCTCCCCCATCCCATCCATCCCATCCAACCCCACCCCATCCATCCCATCCCCCACCCCATCCACCCCATCCCCCCATCCCATCCCCCCCATCCCATCTCCCCCCATCCCCCCCCATTTATCCCATCCCATTTATCCCATCCCCCCATCCCATCCCATCCCCCCCCATCCCATCCCCCCCATCCCATCCCCCCCCATTTATCCCATCCCCCCCCATCCCCCACCTCCCAGAAGCCCCGAGGAGGAGGAGGACGAGGAGGGGGCGGGGGCGGTGCTGGGGCGGGCCCGGCGCCCGGCGCTGCCCCGGGTGGGGTCCTTGGCGATGGGGTCTGTGGGGAGAGGGCAGCACCCATGGGTCCTCTGGGAGCACCCATGGGGGCTGATGGCAGCGGCCCCGGTGCGGGCGATCCCTATGGGGCAGGGTGATCCCTATGGAGCAGGGTGATCCCTATGGGGCAGGGTGATCCCTATGGGGCAGGGTGTTCCCTATGGAGCAGGGTGATCCCTATGGAGCAGGGTGTTCCCTATGGGGCAGGGTGTTCCCTATGGGGCAGGGTGATCCCTATGGGGCAGGGTGATCCCTATGGGGCAGGGTGTTCCCTATGGAGCAGGGTGTTCCCTATGGGGCAGGGTGTTCCCTATGGGGCAGGGTGATCCCTATGGGGCAGGGTGTTCCCTATGGGGCAGGGTGATCCCTATGGGGCAGGGTGATCCCTATGGGGCAGGGTGTTCCCTATGGGGCAGGGTGATCCCTATGGGGCAGGGTGTTCTCTATGGGGCAGGGTGATCCCTATGGAGCAGGGTGTTCCCTATGGGGCAGGGTGATCCCTATGGGGCAGGGTGATCCCTATGGAGCAGGGTGTTCCCTATGGGGCAGGGTGATCCCTATGGGGCAGGGTGATCCCTATGGGGCAGGGTGTTCCCTATGGGGCAGGGTGATCCCTATGGGGCAGGGTGTTCTCTATGGAGCAGGGTGATCCCTATGGGGCAGGGTGATCCCTATGGGGCAGGGTGTTCCCTATGGGTCAGGGTGCTCGCTATGGGTCAGGGTGCCGGCTATGGGGCAGCCCCACGTACAGAAGTAGGGGTGCTCGCTATGGGTCAGGGTGCCGGCTATGGGGCAGCCCCACATACAGAAGTAGGGGTGCTGGCTATGGGTCAGGGTGCTCGCTATGGGTCAGGGTGCCGGCTATGGGGCAGCCCCACATACAGAAGTAGGGGTGCCGGCTATGGGTCAGGGTGCTGGCTATGGGTCAGGGTGCCCGCTATGGGTCAGGGTGCCGGCTATGGGGCAGCCCCACGTACAGAAGTAGGGGTGCTGGCTATGGGTCAGGGTGCTGGCTATGGGTCAGGGTGCTGGCTATGGGTCAGGGTGCAGGCTATGGGTCAGGGTGCGGGCTATGGGGCAGCCCCACGTACAGAAGTAGGGGTGCTCGCTATGGGGCAGGGTGCTGGCTATGGGTCAGGGTGCTCGCTATGGGTCAGGGTGCGGGCTATGGGGCAGCCCCACATACAGAAGTAGGGGTGCTCGCTATGGGTCAGGGTGCTGGCTATGGGTCAGGGTGCTGGCTATGGGTCAGGGTGCCTGCTATGGGGCAGGGTGCCGGCTATGGGGCAGGGTGCTGGCTATGGGGCAGCCCCACATACAGAAGTAGGGGTGCTCGCTATGGGTCAGGGTGCTGGCTATGGGTCAGGGTGCGGGCTATGGGGCAGCCCCACATACAGAAGTAGGGGTGCTTGCTATGGGTCAGGGTGCTGGCTATGGGTCAGGGTGCGGGCTATGGGGCAGCCCCACATACAGAAGTAGGGGTGCTGGCTATGGCTCAGGGTGCCCGCTATGGGTCAGGGTGCTCGCTATGGGTCAGGGTGCTGGCTATGGGTCAGGGTGCGGGCTATGGGGCAGCCCCACATACAGAAGTAGGGGTGCTAGCTATGGGTCAGGGTGCTCGCTATGGGTCAGGGTGCTGGCTATGGGTCAGGGTGCTGGCTATGGGTCAGGGTGCCGGCTATGGGTCAGGGTGCTGGCTATGGGTCAGGGTGCTGGCTATGGGGCAGGGTGCTGGCTATGGGGCAGGGTGCTCGCTATGGGTCAGGGTGCGGGCTATGGGGCAGCCCCACATACAGAAGTAGGGGTGCTCGCTATGGGTCAGGGTGCGGGCTATGGGTCAGGGTGCCGGCTATGGGGCAGCCCCACGTACAGAAGTAGGGGTGCTGGCTATGGGTCAGGGTGCTCGCTATGGGTCAGGGTGCGGGCTATGGGTCAGGGTGCTCGCTATGGGTCAGGGTGCTCGCTATGGGTCAGGGTGCTGGCTATGGGTCAGGGTGCGGGCTATGGGGCAGCCCCACGTACAGAAGTAGGGGTGCTCGCTATGGGTCAGGGTGCTCGCTATGGGTCAGGGTGCTGGCTATGGGTCAGGGTGTGGGCTATGGGGCAGCCCCACATACAGAAGTAGGGGTGCTGGCTATGGGTCAGGGTGCGGGCTATGGGGCAGCCCCACGTACAGAAGTAGGGGTGCTGGCTGTGGGTCAGGGTGCGGGCTATGGGGCAGCCCCACGTACAGAAGTAGGGGTGCTGGCTATGGGTCAGGGTGCGGGCTATGGGGCAGCCCCACATACAGAAGTAGGGGTGCTGGCTATGGGTCAGGGTGCTGGCTATGGGTCAGGGTGCGGGCTATGGGGCAGCCCCACATACAGAAGTAGGGGTGCTCGCTATGGGTCAGGGTGCGGGCTATGGGTCAGGGTGCCGGCTATGGGGCAGCCCCACGTACAGAAGTAGGGGTGCTGGCTATGGGTCAGGGTGCTCGCTATGGGTCAGGGTGCGGGCTATGGGTCAGGGTGCTCGCTATGGGTCAGGGTGCTCGCTATGGGTCAGGGTGCTGGCTATGGGTCAGGGTGCGGGCTATGGGGCAGCCCCACGTACAGAAGTAGGGGTGCTCGCTATGGGTCAGGGTGCTCGCTATGGGTCAGGGTGCTGGCTATGGGTCAGGGTGTGGGCTATGGGGCAGCCCCACATACAGAAGTAGGGGTGCTGGCTATGGGTCAGGGTGCGGGCTATGGGGCAGCCCCACGTACAGAAGTAGGGGTGCTGGCTGTGGGTCAGGGTGCGGGCTATGGGGCAGCCCCACGTACAGAAGTAGGGGTGCTGGCTATGGGTCAGGGTGCGGGCTATGGGGCAGCCCCACATACAGAAGTAGGGGTGCTGGCTATGGGTCAGGGTGCTGGCTATGGGTCAGGGTGCGGGCTATGGGGCAGCCCCACGTACAGAAGTAGGGGTGCTCGCTATGGGTCAGGGTGCTCGCTATGGGTCAGGGTGCTGGCTATGGGTCAGGGTGCGGGCTATGGGGCAGCCCCACATACAGAAGTAGGGGTGCTGGCTATGGGTCAGGGTGCGGGCTATGGGGCAGCCCCACATACAGAAGTAGGGGTGCTGGCTATGGGTCAGGGTGCGGGCTATGGGGCAGCCCCACGTACAGAAGTAGGGGTGCTGGCTATGGGTCAGGGTGCTGGCTATGGGTCAGGGTGCCGGCTATGGGGCAGGGTGCGGGCTATGGGGCAGCCCCACATACAGAAGTAGGGGTGCTGGCTATGGGTCAGGGTGCTGGCTATGGGTCAGGGTGCCGGCTATGGGGCAGGGTGCGGGCTATGGGGCAGCCCCACATACAGAAGTAGGGGTGCTGGCTGTGGGTCAGGGTGCTGGCTGTGGGTCAGGGTGCGGGCTATGGGGCAGCCCCACGTACAGAAGTAGGGGTGCTCCATGGCGTCGCGCGCCGTCAGCCGGCTCTGGTGGTCGTAGCGCAGGAGCTGGTCCAGGAAGTCCAGCGCCTCGGCGCTCACCAGGTGCTGGTTCTCGCTGTGCACGAAACGTTCCCAACGCTTCCGGGAATGTCTGCGGGAAAACGGGAACGGGGTGGGGTCAATGGGGTCAATGGGGTCAATGGGGTCAATGGGATGGGATGGGATGGATGGGTTCAATGGGATGAATGGGATGGGTTCAATGGGATGGGATGGGATGGATGGGATGGGGTGGATGGGATGGGGTCAATGGGATGGGATGGGATGGATGGGTTCAATGGGATGGGATGGGATGGGGTCAATGGGATGGGATGGGATGGGGTCAATGGGATGGGATGGGATGGGGTCAATGGGATGGGATGGGATGGATGGGTTCAATGGGATGGATGGGTTCAATGGGATGGGATGGATGGGGTCAATGGGATGGGATGGGATGGGGTCAATGGGATGGGATGGGATGGGGTCAATGGGATGGGATGGGATGGGGTCAATGGGATGGGATGGGATGGATGGGTTCAATGGGATGGATGGGTTCAATGGGATGGGATGGATGGGGTCAATGGGATGGGATGGGATGGGGTCAATGGGATGGGATGGGATGGATGGGTTCAATGGGATGGATGGGTTCAATGGGATGGGATGGATGGGGTCAATGGGATGGGATGGGATGGATGGGTTCAATGGGATGGATGGGATGGGTTCAATGGGATGGGATGGGATGGATGGGTTCAATGGGATGGATGGGATGGGTTCAATGGGATGGGATGGGATGGATGGGTTCAATGGGATGGATGGGATGGGTTCAATGGGATGGGATGGGATGGATGGGTTCAATGGGATGAATGGGATGGGTTCAATGGGATGGGATGGGATGGATGGGTTCAATGGGATGAATGGGATGGGTTCAATGGGATGGGATGGGATGGATGGGTTCAATGGGATGAATGGGATGGGTTCAATGGGATGGGATGGGATGGATGGGTTCAATGGGATGAATGGGATGGGTTCAATGGGATGGGATGGGATGGATGGGTTCAATGGGATGAATGGGATGGGTTCAATGGGATGGGATGGGATGGATGGGTTCAATGGGATGAATGGGATGGGTTCAATGGGATGGGATGGGATGGGTTCAATGGGATGGGATGGGATGGATGGGTTCAATGGGATGGATGGGATGGGTTCAATGGGATGGGATGGGATGGATGGGTTCAATGGGATGAATGGGATGGGTTCAATGGGATGGGATGGGATGGATGGGTTCAATGGGATGGATGGGATGGGTTCAATGGGATGGGATGGGATGGATGGGGTCAATGGGTTCAATGGGATGAATGGGATGGGATGGATGGGATGGGACGGATGGGATGGGATGGGATGGGATGGGATGGGATGGGATGGATGGGGTCAATGTGTTCAATGGGATGAATGGGATGGGATGGGATGGATGGGGTCAATGGGTTCAATGGGATGAATGGGATGGGATGGGATGGGATGGGATGGGATGGGATGGATGGGGTCAGTGGGTTCAATGGGATGGATGGGATGGGATGGGATGGGATGGGATGGGATGGGATGGGATGGATGGGATGGGATGGATGGGGTCAATGGGTTCAATGGTATGAATGGGATGGATGGGATGGGATCAATGGGTTCAATGGGATGAATGGGATGGGATGGATGGGATGGGATGGGTTCAATGGGTTCAATGGGATGAATGGGATGGGATGGATGGGATGGGTTCAATGGGATGAATGGGATGGGATGGGATGGGGTCAATGGGATGGGGGTGGATGGGATGAATGGGATGCGGTGGCAGCCCCCACCTGCCCAGGATGTCGTTGAAGCGCGGGTCCAGCTCGATGCTGTACTTGTCGATGTAGTCATAGAGCTCCTCAGTGCCCAGCACCTTGGCGATGCGCACGAGCTGCAGGGGACAACGGGGCAGGATGAGGCCATGGGGGGCACGGAGGGGGGCGGGGATGGGGAAGGGTTGGGGGGATGGGGAAGGGTTGGGGTTAGGGGAAGGGTTGGGGTTAGGGGAAGGGTTGGGGTTAGGGGAAGGGTTGGGGTTAGGGGGAAGGGTTGGGGTTAGGGGAAGGGTTGGGGTTAGGGGAAGGGTTGGGGGGATGGGGAAGGGTTGGGGTTAGGGGGAAGGGTTGGGGTTAGGGGAAGGGTTGGGGTTAGGGGAAGGGTTGGGGGGATGGGGAAGGGTTGGGGTCAGGGGGAAGGGTTGGGGTTAGGGGAAGGGTTGGGGTTAGGGGAAGGGTTGGGGTTAGGGGGAAGGGTTGGGGTTAGGGGGAAGGGTTGGGGTTAGGGAAGGGTTGGGGTTAGGGGAAGGGTTGGGGTTAGGGGAAGGGTTGGGGTTAGGGGGAAGGGTTGGGGTTAGGGGAAGGGTTGGGGGGATGGGGAAGGGTTGGGGTTAGGGGAAGGGTTGGGGTTAGGGGAAGGGTTGGGGTTAGGGGAAGGGTTGGGGTTAGGGGGAAGGGTTGGGGTTAGGGGAAGGGTTGGGGTTAGGGGAAGGGTTGGGGGGATGGGGAAGGGTTGGGGTTAGGGGAAGGGTTGGGGTTAGGGGGAAGGGTTGGGGTTAGGGGGAAGGGTTGGGGTTAGGGGAAGGGTTGGGGTTAGGGGAAGGGTTGGGGTTAGGGGGAAGGGTTGGGGTTAGGGGGAAGGGTTGGGGTTAGGGGAAGGGTTGGGGTTAGGGGGAAGGGTTGGGGTTAGGGGAAGGGTTGGGGTTAGGGGAAGGGTTGGGGTTAGGGGGAAGGGTTGGGGTTAGGGGGAAGGGTTGGGGTTAGGGGAAGGGTTGGGGTTAGGGGAAGGGTTGGGGTTAGGGGAAGGGTTGGGGTTAGGGGAAGGGTTGGGGTTAGGGGAAGGGTTGGGGTTAGGGGAAGGGTTGGGGTTAGGGGGAAGGGTTGGGGTTAGGGGGAAGGGTTGGGGTTAGGGGGAGGGGTTGGGGTTAGGGGAAGGGTTGGGGTTAGGGGGAAGGGTTGGGGTATGAGGGCTAGTTTTGGGGTGATGGAGGAGCAGTTTGGGGCAATGCAGGATCAGGCTCAGGTGATGGAGTGAGGGTTTGGATGCAGGAGGAGGTGATGCAGGAGGAGGTGATGCAGGAGGAGGTGATGCAGGGCTGCAGGAGGAGGTGATGCAGGAGGAGGTGATGCAGGGCTGCAGGAGGAGGTGATGCAGGAGGAGGTGATGCAGGAGGAGGTGATGCAGGGCTGCAGGAGGAGGTGATGCAGGAGGAGGTGATGCAGGAGGAGGTGATGCAGAGCTGCAGGAGGAGGTGATGCAGGAGGAGGTGATGCAGGAGGAGGTGATGCAGGAGGAGGTGATGCAGAGCTGCAGGAGGAGGTGATGCAGGGCTGCAGGAGGAGGTGATGCAGGAGGAGGTGATGCAGGAGGAGGTGATGCAGGAGGAGGTGATGCAGAGCTGCAGGAGGAGGTGATGCAGGGCTGCAGGAGGAGGTGATGCAGGAGGAGGTGATGCAGGAGGAGGTGATGCAGGAGGAGGTGATGCAGGAGGAGGTGATGCAGGAGGAGGTGATGGGCTGCAGGAGGAGGTGATGCAGGAGGAGGTGATGCAGGAGGAGGTGATGCAGGAGGAGGTGATGCAGGAGGAGGTGATGCAGGGCTGCAGGAGGAGGTGATGCAGAGCTGCAGGAGGAGCTCACCTGGTCGTAGTTGTCGTGGCCGTGGAAGAAGGGCTCCTTCCTGAAGACCATGCTGGCCAGCATGCAGCCCAGGCTCCACATGTCCAGGCTGTAGTCGTACATCTGGGGGTGGCAGGGGAGGGTTAGGGTTTGGTTATGGGGTCGGGGTTATGGGGTTAGGTTTAGGGGTTATGGTTATGGTTAGGGGTTAGGGTTATGGTTATGGTTAGGGGTTAGGGTTACGGTTATGGTTAGGGGTTATGGTTATGGTTATGGTTAGGGGTTAGGGTTATGGTTATGGTTAGGGGTTAGGGTTATGGTTAGGGGTTAGGGTTATGGTTATGGTTAGGGGTTAGGGTTATGGTTATGGTTAGGGGTTAGGGTTATGGTTAGGGGTTAGGGTTATGGTTATGGTTAGGGGTTAGGGTTATGGTTGGGGTTAGGATCAGGTGTCAAGGTCGGGGGTTAGGGTTAGCGTTAGGGGTTAGGGTTTGGTTGAAGTTTGGGGTTAATGTTAGGGGTCAGAGTTAGGGGTTCCGGTCCCAGGTGAGGGTCAGTGTTGGGGTCACTCCAGCTCTAGGCTCAGGTCAGGGTTAGGGGCATGGTTAGGGGTTAGCATTATGGTTATGGGTAGGTTTAGGGGTCAGGGTTAGGTTTGGGGTCAGGGTTAGGTTTAGGGGTCAGGGTTAGGGGTCAGGGTTAGGTTTGGGGTCAGGGTTAAGTTTAGGGGTCAGGGTTAGGGGTCAGGGTTAGGGTTAGGGTTCAGGGTCAGGTTCAGGGGTCAGGTTTAGGGGTCAGGGTCAGGTTCAGGGGTCAGGGTCAGGTTCAGGGGTCAGGTTCAGGGTTCAGATTCAGGGGTCAGGTTCAGGGGTCAGGTTCAGGGGTCAGGGTCAGGTTCAGGGGTCAGGTTCAGGTTCAGGGGTCAGGTTCAGGGTTCAGATTCAGGGGTCAGGTTCAGGGGTCAGGTTCAGGGGTCAGGGTCAGGTTCAGGGCTCCGGGTCAGGTTCAGGGGTCAGGTTCAGGGTTCAGATTCAGGGGTCAGGTTCAGGGGTCAGGTTCAGGGGTCAGGGTCAGGTTCAGGGGTCAGGTTCAGGTTCAGGGGTCAGGTTCAGGGTTCAGATTCAGGGGTCAGGTTCAGGGGTCAGGTTCAGGGGTCAGGGTCAGGTTCAGGGCTCCGGGTCAGGTTCAGGGGTCAGGTTCAGGGTCAGGGTCAGGTTCATGGGTCAGGTTCAGGGGTCAGGGTCAGGTTCAGGGGTCAGGGTCAGGTTCAGGGGTCAGGGTCAGGGCTCCGGGTCAGGTTCAGGGCTCCGGGTCAGGTTCAGGGGTCAGGTTCAGGGTCAGGGTCAGGTTCAGGGGTCAGGGTCAGGTTCAGGGGTCAGGTTCAGGGGTCAGGTTCAGGGGTCAGGTTCAGGGTCAGGGTCAGGTTCAGGGGTCAGGTTTAGGGGTCAGGTTCAGGTGTCAGGGTCAGTTTCAGGGGTCAGGTTCAGGGGTCAGGTTCAGGGGTCAGGTTCAGGGTCAGGGTCAGGTTCAGGGGTCAGGTTCATGGGTCAGGTTCAGGGGTCAGGTTCAGGGCTCCGGGTCAGGGTCAGGGGTCAGGTTCAGGGGTCAGGGTCAGGTTCAGGGTCAGGGTCAGGTTCAGGGGTCAGGTTCAGGGGTCAGGTTCAGGGGTCAGGTTCAGGGGTCAGGTTCAGGGGTCAGGTTCAGGTTCATGGGTCAGGTTCATGGGTCAGGTTCAGGGTCAGGTTCAGGGGTCAGGTCAGGGTCAGGGTCAGGTTCAGGGGTCAGGTTCAGGTGTCAGGGTCAGGTTCAGGGGTCAGGTTCAGGTGTCAGGGTCAGGTTCAGGGGTCAGGTTCAGGGCTCCGGGTCAGGTTCAGGGGTCAGGTTGAGGTGTCAGGGTCAGGTTCATGGGTCAGGTTCAGGGGTCAGGTTCAGGGGTCAGGGTCAGGTTCAGGGGTCAGGTTCAGGGGTCAGGTTCAGGGGTCAGGGTCAGGTTCAGGGGTCAGGTTCAGGGGTCAGGGTCAGGTTCAGGGCTCCGGGTCAGGTTCAGGGGTCAGGTTCAGGGGTCAGGGTCAGGTTCAGGGGTCAGGTTCAGGTTCAGGGGTCAGGGTCAGGGTCAGGTTCAGGGGTCAGGGTCAGGTTCAGGGGTCAGGGTCAGGGTCAGGTTCAGGGGTCAGGTTCAGGGTCAGGGTCAGGTTCAGGGGTCAGGTTCAGGGGTCAGGTTCAGGTTCAGGGGTCAGGTTCAGGGTCAGGGTCAGGTTGAGGTGTCAGGGTCAGGTTCAGGGGTCAGGGTCAGGTTCAGGGGTCAGGGTCAGGTTCAGGGGTCAGGGTCAGGTTCAGGGTCAGGTTCAGGGGTCAGGGTCAGGTTCCGGGGTCAGGGTCAGGGCTCCGGGTCAGGTTCAGGGGTCAGGTTCAGGGGTCAGGTTCAGGGGTCAGGGTCAGGTTGAGGTGTCAGGGTCAGTTTCAGGGGTCAGGTTCAGGGGTCAGGGTCAGGTTCAGGGGTCAGGGTCAGGGTCAGGTTCAGGGGTCAGGGTCAGGTTCAGGGGTCAGGGTCAGGTTCAGGGGTCAGGTTCAGGTTCAGGGGTCAGGGTCAGGGTCAGGTTCAGGGGTCAGGGTCAGGTTCAGGGGTCAGGGTCAGGGTCAGGTTCAGGGGTCAGGTTCAGGGTCAGGGTCAGGTTCAGGGGTCAGGTTCAGGGGTCAGGTTCAGGTTCAGGGGTCAGGTTCAGGGTCAGGGTCAGGTTGAGGTGTCAGGGTCAGGTTCAGGGGTCAGGGTCAGGTTCAGGGGTCAGGGTCAGGTTCAGGGGTCAGGGTCAGGTTCAGGGTCAGGTTCAGGGGTCAGGGTCAGGTTCCGGGGTCAGGGTCAGGGCTCCGGGTCAGGTTCAGGGGTCAGGTTCAGGGGTCAGGTTCAGGGGTCAGGGTCAGGGCTCCGGGTCAGGTTCAGGGGTCAGGTTCAGGGGTCAGGTTCAGGGGTCAGGGTCAGGTTGAGGTGTCAGGGTCAGTTTCAGGGGTCAGGTTCAGGGGTCAGGGTCAGGTTCAGGGGTCAGGGTCAGGGTCAGGTTCAGGGGTCAGGGTCAGGTTCAGGGGTCAGGGTCAGGTTCAGGGGTCAGGTTCAGGGGTCAGGTTCAGGGCTCCGGGTCAGGTTCAGGGGTCAGGTTCAGGGTCAGGTTAAGGATCAGGTTTCGGGGTCAGTGTTGGGCTCTCTCCATGTCTGGGGCGCGGTGAGGGTGGGTTTTAGGGTCCCCATGGCAGGAAGGGGGCTGCACCCCCCACCCCATACCTGGTAATCCACGAGCAGCTCCGGGCCCTTGAAGTAGCGCGAGGCCACGCGGACGTTGTACTCCTGGCCTGGGTGGTAGAACTCAGCCAGGCCCCAGTCAATGAGCCGGAGCTGGGGAGCAACGGGAGGAAGAGGATGAGGATGGGGAGGGGTGGGAATGGGGTGGGGATGGGGTGGGGATGGGGATGGGATGGGGATGGGATGGATGGGATGGGATGGGATGGGATGGATGGGATGGGATGGGATGGGATGGGATGGATGGGATGGGGATGGGATGGGATGGATGGGATGGGATGGGATGGATGGGATGGGATGGGGATGGGATGGGGATGGGATGATGATGGGGAGGGATGGGGTGGGGATGGGGTGGGGATGGGGTGGGGATGGGGATGGGATGGGATGGGATGGGGATGGGAATGGGATGGGATGGGGATGGGATGGATGGGATGGGATGGGATGGGATGGATGGGGTGGAGATGGGGTGGGATGGGGATGGGTTGGGATGGGATGGATGGGATGGGAAGGGATGGGGATGGGAATGGGATGGGATAGGGATGGGATGGGATGGGTTGGGATGGGGATGGGATGGGATGGATGGGGTGGGATGGGATGGGGATGGGATGGGGATGGGATGGGATGGATGGGATGGGATGGATGGGATGGGATGGATGGGATGGGATGGATGGGATGGGGATGGGAATGGGATGGGGATGGGATGGGGATGGGATGGGATGGATGGGATGAGGATGGGGAGGGATGGGGTGAGGATGGTGTGGGGATGGGATGGGAATGGGATGGGGATGGGATGGATGGGATGGATGGGATGGGGTGGGGATGGGATGGGGAGGGGATGGGATGGGCACAGGATGGGGATGGGATGGGGATGGGCACAGGATGGGATGGGATGGATGGGATGGGATGGGATGGGGATGGGATGGATGGGATGGGATGGGGATGGGATGGGATGGGATGGGATGGGATGGATGGGGTGGAGATGGGGTGGGGATGTCTTCAGGGCCCTGCAGCCCCGGGGAGCTGGGACCACGCCGTGGTGCTGGCCCTGAGAGCAGCCCCAGTGCCTGAAGGGGCTGCAGGGAGCCTGGAGAGGGGTTGGGATGAGGGAGGCAGGGATGGGAGGGGGAGGAAGTGGGAAGAGTTGATGGGAGCTTGGGGAGCTCTTCCCCATGAGGGTGCTGGGGCCCTGGGATGGATGGGCTGAAGGGAGAGGTTTGGGATGCTCCAGCCCTGGCTGTATCCAAGGCCAGGTTGGACACAGGGGCTCCGAGCACCCTGCTCCAGGGGAAGGGGTCCAAGCTCTCCACCCATCTCATCCCATCCATCCCATTCCATCCCACCCCATCCATCCCATCCCATCCATCCCATCCATTCCATCCCATCCATCCCATCCCATCCCATCCCATCCATCCCATCCATTCCATCCCATCCATCCCATCGAATCCCATTCATCCCATCCCATCCATCCCATCCCATCCATCCCGTCCCATCCATCCCATCCCATCCCCATCCCATCCATCCCATCCCATCCCCATCCCATCCCATCCATCCCATCCCATCCCATCCATCCCATCCAATCCCATCCCCATCCCATCCCATCCATCCCATCCCATCCCATCCCATCCCATCCATCCCATCCCATCCCATCCATCCCATCCCATCCCATCCCATCCCATCCCATCCCATCCCATCCCATCTCCATCCATCCCATCCCATCCATCCCATCCATCCCATCCCATCCCATCCATCCATCCCATCCATCCCATCCATCCCATCCCATCCCATCCCATCCCATCTCATCCATCCCATCCATCCCATCCCATCCCATCCCATCCCATCCATCCCATCCCATCCCATCCCATCCCATCCCATCCATCCCATCCAATCCCATCCCCATCCCATCCCATCCATCCCATCCCATCCCATCCCATCCCATCCATCCCATCCCATCCCATCCATCCCATCCCATCCCATCCCATCCCATCCCATCCCATCCCATCCCATCCCATCTCATCCATCCCATTCACCTCCATCCCATCCATCCCATCCCATCCATCCCATCCCAAGGAAGGCCTCAAAGGTCGAGGCCCTTTGGGAATATGGGAGGAGCTTGGGCCCATTTGGAAGAGGGAAATCCATGGGGATTTACTGGATGCAGGGGGTGCTTTGATGCTCCCATGGAATTCCCATTGGCAAGAGGGAAATCCATGGGGATTTACTGGATGCAGGGGGTGCTTTGATGCTCCCATGGAATTCCCATTGGCAAGAGGGAAATCCATGGGGATTTAAGGGATGCAGGGGGTGCTTTGATGCTCCCATGGAATTCCCAATGGGAAGAGGGAAATCCATGGGGATTTAAGGGATGCTCCCATAGAATTCCCATTGGGAAGAGGGAAATCCATGGGGATTTAAGGGCTGCTCCCATGGAATTCCCATTGGGAAGAGGGAAATCAATGGGGATTTAAGGGCTGCTCCCATGGAATTCCCATAGGGAAGAGGGAAATCCATGGGGATTTAAGTGATGCTCCCATGGAATTCCCATAGGGAAGAGGGAAATCCATGGGGATTTAAGTGATGCTCCATGGAATTCCCATAGGGAAGAGGGAAATCCATGGGGATTTAAGGGCTGCTCCCATGGAATTCCCCCCCCACCAGCTGGGACCCCCATGGCCTTAAAGGGCTCCTCCTGCTCCGGATCCCTCCCACCCCAGCCCATTCCATGGTCCCAGGGGCTATTCCAAGGCTCGGGAATGGCGGCAGGCTCCCACCTTCCTGTGCTCGTGGTCGATCATCACGTTGTGGGGCTTGACGTCGCGGTGCATCACGCCCATGCTGTGGCAGTAATCCAGGGCCTGCGGGGCAACGGGGGCCTCAGGGATGCTCCTGCATCCCACGGGATCCTCCCGCATCCCATTGGATCCTCCCGCATCCCATTGGATCCTCCTGCACCCCACGGGATCCTCCTGCTTCCCACTGGATCCTCCTGCACCCCACGGGATCCTCCTGCTTCCCACTGGATCCTCCTGCACCCCACGGGATCCTCCTGCTTCCCATGGGATCCTCCTGCATCCCATTGGATCCTCCTGCTTCCCACTGGATCCTCCTGCTCCCCACTGGATCCTCCTGCTTCCCACTGGATCCTCCTGCACCCCACGGGATCCCCCTGCTCCCCATTGGATCTTCCTGCACCCCATGGGATCCTCCTGCACCCCACGGGATCCTCCCGCTTCCCATTGGATCCTCCTGCACCCCACGGGATCCTCCCGCTCCCCATTGGATCCTCCCGCTTCCCATTGGATCCTCCCGCTTCCCATTGGATCCTCCTGCTTCCCACTGGATCCTCCTGCATCCCATTGGATCCTCCTGCTTCCCATTGGATCCTCCTGCATCCCATGGGATCCTCCTGCATCCCATGGGATCCTCCTGCTTCCCATTGGATCCTCCTGCTTCCCATTGGATCCTCCTGCATCCCATGGGATCCTCCTGCTTCCCATTGGATCCTCCTGCATCCCACGGGATCCTCCTGCTTCCCATTGGATCCTCCTGCACCCCACGGGAGGAATCCTCCTGCATCCCACGGGATCCTCCTGCTTCCCATTGGATCCTCCTGCATCCCACGGGATCCTCCTGCTTCCCATTGGATCCTCCTGCACCCCACGGGATCCTCCTGCATCCCACGGGATCCTCCTGCTTCCCACTGGATCCTCCTGCATCCCATGGGATCCTCCTGCTTCCCATTGGATCCTCCTGCTTCCCATTGGATCCTCCTGCACCCCATGGGATCCTCCTGCTTCCCACTGGATCCTCCTGCACCCCATGGGATCCTCCTGCTTCCCATTGGATCCTCCTGCTTCCCATTGGATCCTCCTGCTCCCCATGGGATCCTCCTGCTTCCCATTGGATCCTCCTGCTTCCCATGGGATCCTCCTGCTCCCCATGGGATCCTCCTGCTTCCCATTGGATCCTCCTGCTTCCCATGGGATCCTCCTGCACCCCATTGGATCCTCCTGCATCCCATTGGATCCTCCTGCTTCCCATTGGATCCTCCTGCACCCCATGGGATCCTCCTGCTTCCCATTGGATCCTCCTGCACCCCATTGGGTCCTCCTGCTTCCCATTGGATCCTCCTGCACCCCACGGGATCCTCCTGCTTCCCATTGGATCCTCCTGCATCCCATTGGATCCTCCTGCTCCCCATTGGATCCTCCTGCTTCCCATGGGATCCTCCTGCTTCCCATTGGATCCTCCCGCATCCCACGGGATCCTCCTGCTCCCCATTGGATCCTCCTGCTTCCCATTGGATCCTCCTGCTTCCCATGGGATCCTCCTGCATCCCATGGGATCCTCCCGCACCCCACGGGATCCTCCTGCTTCCCATTGGATCCTCCTGCACCCCATTGGATCCTCCTGCTCCCCACGGGATCCTCCCGCTTCCCATTGGATCCTCCTGCTTCCCATTGGATCCTCCTGCTTCCCATGGGATCCTCCCGCTTCCCCATTGGATCCTCCTGCATCCCACGGGATCCTCCCGCTTCCCACTGGATCCTCCTGCACCCCATTGGATCCTCCTGCTTCCCATTGGATCTTCCCGCATCCCACGGGATCCTCCTGCTTCCCATTGGATCCTCCCGCATCCCACGGGATCCTCCTGCTTCCCATTGGATCCTCCTGCTTCCCATGGGATCCTCCCGCTTCCCATTGGATCCTCCTGCATCCCACGGGATCCTCCTGCTTCCCATTGGATCCTCCTGCTCCCCATTGGATCCTCCTGCATCCCATTGGATCCTCCTGCACCCCACGGGATCCTCCTGCTTCCCATTGGATCCTCCTGCATCCCATTGGATCCTCCCGCATCCCACGGGATCCTCCTGCTTCCCATTGGATCCTCCCGCATCCCACGGGATCTGCTCACCTTGAGGATCTCGTACATGTAGAAGCGGATGTCGAAGTCCGAGAGGGTCTGATAGAGCTGCTGCAGGAGGGCAGGGAACAAGGGCAGGGTGAGGGGCAGCAGGATGGGGTCTGGAGGTGCTGGATGGGGGCAGGAGGTGCTGGATGGGGTCTGGAGGTGCTGGATGGGGTCTGGAGGTGCAGGATGGGGTCTGGAGGTGCTGGATGGGGTCTGGAGGTGCTGGATGGGGTCTGGAGGTGCTGGATGGGGTCTGGAGGTGCTGGATGGGGTCTGGAGGTGCTGGATGGGGTGGGAGGTGCTGGATGGGGTCTGGAGGTGCTGGATGGGGTCTGGAGGTGCTGGATGGGGTCTGGAGGTGCTGGATGGGGTCTGGAGGTGCTGGATGGGGTCTGGAGGTGCTGGATGGGGTCTGGAGGTGCTGGATGGGGTCTGGAGGTGCTGGATGGGGTCTGGAGGTGCTGGATGGGGTCTGGAGGTGCTGGATGGGGTCTGGAGGTGCTGGATGGGGTCTGGAGGTGCTGGATGGGGGCAGGAGGTGCTGGATGGGGGCAGGAGGTGCAGGATGGGGTCTGGAGGTGCTGGATGGGGTCTGGAGGTGCAGGATAGGGTCCGGAGGTGCAGGATGGGGTGGGAATGACCACAATGCCCCCAGGATTTCCCCTGGGGGAGAAGGGGGGCCCAGCACCCTTCCGAGCACCCATGAGGACCCCCAGCACCCAAAGGGCTCACCCAGGGGCAGACCCAGCACCCTTCCGAGCACCCATGGGGACCCCCAGCACCCAAAGGGCTCACCCAGGGGGAGACCCAGCACCCTTCCGAGCACCCATGGGGACCCCCAGCACCCAAAGGGCTCACCCAGGGGGAGACCCAGCACCCTTCCGAGCACCCATGAGGACCCCCAGCACCCAAAGGGCTCCCTTTCCCCCTCGCTGCCCTCCGGAAGCGCTGAGGACCGGGCAGGATGGGAGCGCGGGACTGGCTGGATGCCAGCAGGAGCCATGGAGGGGAGCGGATCCGTGCCTCGGGAACACCGGGAATGCCGGGATGGGCTCCCTGGGTGCTGGGGGGGGGAGCACCCACCTTGAAGTCGGTGTTGTTGACGTGCTCGAAGACCAGGGCGGGCGTCCGGGACTGCGGGGATGGGGCCAGGCATGGGGGGAAGGAAAGAGAGGGGGTGAGATCCAACCCGCCCCAAAGGAACGGGGAGGCAGCACCCGCACCCATAGAATCCATAGGGAAACCCGGGGGAGAGGAGGTGGGAGATGGGAGAAGGGAGGAGGGGAAAGGAGGAGGGGAAAGGGAGGAGGGAGGAGGGAAAAGGGAGAAGGGGAAGGGAGAAGGGAGAAGGGGAAGGGAGAAGGGAGAAGGGAGAAGGGAGAAGGGAAAAGGGAGAAGGGAAAAGGGAGAAGGGAAAAGAGGAAGGGAGAAGGGAAAAGGGAGAAGGGAGGAGGGAGAAGGGAGGAGGGAGAAGGGAAAAGGGAGAAGGGAAAAGGGAGAAGGGAAAAGGGGAAGGGAGAAGGGAGAAGGGAAAAGGGAGAAGGGAAAAGAGGAAGGGAGAAGGGAAAAGGGGAAGGGAGAAGGGAGAATGGAAAAGGGAGAAGGGAGAAGGGAAAAGGGAGAAGGGAAAAGGGAGAAGGGAAAAGGGAGAAGGGAAAAGGGAGAAGGGAGAAGGGAAAAGGGGAAGGGAGAAGGGAGAAGGGAAAAGGGAGAAGGGAGAAGGGAAAAGGGAGAAGGGAAAAGGGAGAAGGGAGAAGGGAGAAGGGAAAAGGGAGAAGGGAAAAGGGAGAAGGGAAAAGGGAGAAGGGAGAAGGGAGAAGGGAAAAGGGAGAAGGGAGAAGGGAGAAGGGAGAAGGGAAAAGGGAGAAGGGAAAAGGGGAAGGGAGAAGGGAAAAGGGAGAAGGGAGAAGGGAGAAGGGAGAAGGGAGAAGGGAAAAGGGAGAAGGGAAAAGGGGAAGGGAGAAGGGAAAAGGGAGAAGGGAGAAGGGAGAAGGGAAAAGGGGAGAAGGGAGAAGGGAAAAGGGAGAAGGGAAAAGGGGAAGGGAGAAGGGAAAAGGGAGAAGGGAGAAGGGAAAAGGGGAAGGGAGAAGGGAGAAGGGAAAAGAGGAAGGGAGAAGGGAAAAGGGAGAAGGGAGGAGGGAGAAGGGAGAAGGGAGGAGGGAGAAGGAAAAGGGAGAAGGGAAAAGGGAGAAGGGAAAAGGGGAAGGAGAAGGAAGGGGAGAAGGGAAAAGGGAGAAGGGAAAAGAGGAAGGGAGAAGGGAAAGGGGAAGGGAGAAGGGAGAATGGAAAGGGAGAAGGGAGAAGGGAAAAGGGAGAAGGGAAAAGGGAGAAGGGAAAAGGGAGAAGGGAAAAGGGAGAAGGGAGAAGGGAAAAGGGGAAGGGAGAAGGAAAAGGGAGAAGGGAAAGGGAGAAGGGAAAAGGGAGAAGGGAAAAGGGAGAAGGGAGAAGGGAAAAGGGAGAAGGGAAAAGGGAGAAGGGAAAAGGGAGAAGGGAAAAGGGAGAAGGGAAAAGGGGAAGGGAGAAGGGAGGAGGGAGAAGGGGATGAGAGAAGGAAGAAGGGAGAAGGGCAAGGACCCATCCGGGCTCTGGAGCCACTGGGATGGGGCTGGGCTGAGGCAGGGAGGGGGGGGAAGGAACTCTCTGGCCAGGAATGCTCTGGGCTTGGCTTTCATGGAAGCAGGGAATGGTTTGGGATGAAGGGACCTGAACCCTCCTCCCCTTGGACCCCGTGGAGCAGGAGCCCTTCCCCTCAGCTGGGTGCTCCAAGCCCCCATGTCCAACCGGGCATGGGGCACCCCCGTCCGAGCCGTTCCCAAACCCCAACCCTCCGGATGGGGAAGAACTTCCCAAGATCCCACCCAACCCCTCCCTCATCCCCTTGGAGCCGTTCCTGTTCCTCCCCATCCCAACGCAGCCATTCATGGTCCTGGGCTCCCATTCCCAGCCTCTGGAGCAATCCCAGTGCTCCCAGGGGAGGGGGATTTCAGCTCCCAGATGGATGCCGAGCGGGGCAGGGAGCGGCCTGAGCCTCTTCCCAAGGATCCCAAGGGATTCCGGAGCCGTACCACGGGGTCCTTGACGATGTCCAAGAGGTTGATGATGTTGGGGCCGCCGCGGAGGTTCTCCAGGATCTTGATCTCCCGTTTGATCTTCTTCTTCTTGACGGGCTGAGGAGACACAAGGGGAGAGCTGGGAGAGAGGGAATGCTCTGCTCCGCATCCCTAGGGAATAACGCAGGGATGAGGAGGCTGGGAGATGGGGGCAGACGGGAGGAGATCCAGGAGAGAGGCTGCAGGGAGCCTGGAGAGGGGCTTGGGATGAGGGATGGGAGCAGGAACGGCTCCAAAGGGATCTTGGGATGAGGGATGCAGGGATGGGAGCAGGAATGGCTCCAAAGGGATCTTGGGATGAGGGATGCGGGGATGGGAGCAGCAGGAATGGCTCCAAAGGGATCTTTGGATGAGGGATGAGGGGATGGGAGCAGGAACGGCTCCAAAGGGATCTTGGGATGAGGGATGAACGGATGGGAGCAGCAGGAACGGCTCCAAAGGGATCTTGGGATGAGGGATGCAGGGATGGGAGCAGGAACGGCTCCAAAGGGATCTTGGGATGAAGCTCCTAGGGCACTGCTGGGGCTGCCCAGGGATGCCCCATCCCAAGGCTGGGCTGGAGCCATTCCAGGACAATCCCATCCAGTTTTGGGGTTCCCATTCCCAGTTTAGGGGTTTCTGGGTCCCACTTTTGTGTTTCCTGGTCCAAGTTTTGGGGCTCCCATTCCCAGTTTTCAGGCCCCCAATCCCAGGTTTAGGATTCCCATTCCCAGGTTTGGGTTTCCCATTCCCAGTTTTGTGGTTCCCATTCCCAGTTCCGGTTTCCCATTCCCAATTTTGGGGTTCCCATTCCCAGTTCTGGGGTTTCCATTCCCAGTTCTGGTTTCCCATTCCCAGTTCCAGGTTTCCCATTCCCAGTTCTGGATTTCCCATTCCCAGTTTTGTGGTTCCCATTCCCATTCCTGGTTTCCTGTTCCCATTCCCAGTTCCCATTCCCATTCCCGGTTTCCCATTCCCAGTTCCCACTCCCATTCCCGGTTTCCCACTCCCATTCCCAGTTCCGGTTTCCCATTCCCAGTCCCGGTTTCCCATTCCTGGTTTCCCACTCCCATTTCCAGGTTCCCATTCCCAGGTTCCCACTCCCATTCCCGGTTTCCCATTCCCAGTTCCCACTCCCATTCCCAGTTTCCCATTCCCGGTTTCCCATTCCCAGTTCCGGGTTCCCATTCCCAGGTTCCCATTCCCATTCCTGGTTTCCCATTCCATTCCCGGTTTCCCATTCCTGGTTTCCCATTCCCAGTTCCCACTCCCATTCCCGGTTCCCATTCCCGGTTTCCCATTCCCAGTTCCCACTCCCATTCCCAGTTCCCATTCCCGGTTCCCATTCCCGGTTCCCCATTCCCGGTTCCCACTCCCATTCCCGGTTTCCCATTCCTGGTTTCCCATTCCCAGTTTCCCATTCCCAGTTCCCACTCCCATTCCCAGTTCCCATTCCCGGTTCCCATTCCCGGTTCCCATTCCCAGTTCCCATTCCTGGTTTCCCATTCCCGGTTCCCATTCCCGGTTCCCATTCCCGGTTCCCACTCCCATTCCCGGTTCCCATTCCCGGTTCCCATTCCCGGTTCCCACTCCCATTCCCGGTTTCCCATTCCTGGTTTCCCATTCCCAGTTCCCACTCCCATTCCCAGTTCCCACTCCCATTCCCGGTTCCCATTCCCGGTTCCCATTCCCGGTTCCCACTCCCATTCCCGGTTTCCCATTCCCGGTTTCCCATTCCCAGTTCCCACTCCCATTCCCAGTTTCCCATTCCCGGTTCCCATTCCCGGTTCCCCATTCCTGGTTCCCATTCCCGGTTTCCCATTCCCATTCCCGGTTTCCCATTCCCGGTTTCCCATTCCCATTCCCGGTTTCCCATTCCCAGTTCCCACTCCCATTCCCGGTTTCCCATTCCCGGTTCCCATTCCCGGTTCCCCATTCCCGGTTTCCCATTCCCAGTTCCCATTCCCGGTTTCCCATTCCCGGTTCCCATTCCCAGTTCCCATTCCCGGTTCCCATTCCCGGTTCCCATTCCCAGTTCCCATTCCCGGTTTCCCATTCCCAGTTCCCATTCCCAGTTCCCATTCCCGGTTCCCCATTCCCGGTTTCCCATTCCCAGTTCCCATTCCTGGTTTCCCATTCCCGGTTTCCCATTCCCAGTTCCCATTCCCAGTTCCCATTCCCGGTTCCCATTCCCGGTTCCCATTCCCAGTTCCCATTCCCAGTTCCCATTCCCGGTTCCCATTCCCGGTTCCCACTCCCGGTTCCCATTCCCGGTTCCCCATTCCCGGTTTGGGGAATGCCGCTCCCACCTTGAGGATCTTCACCACCACCTTCTCGTTGCTCGTGATGTTGATGGCCTCAAAGACCTCGCTGTACTTGCCCCGGCCCAGCTTCCGCACCAGCTGGAAGTCATCCTGGTTCCTGCGGGATAAGGGCCGGCAGCTCCCGATATCCCAAAGATCCCGATCCCAAAGATCCCCATCCCACAGATCCCGATCCCAAAGCTCCTGATCCCAGAGATCCCGATCCCAAAGATCCCGATCCCAGAGATCCCGACATCCCCAAGATCCTGATCCCAAAGATCCCGATCCCAGAGATCCTGAAGATCCTGATCCCAGAGATCCCGATCCCAGAGGTCCCGACATCCCCAAGATCCTGATCCCACAGATCCCGATCCCAGAGATCCCGATCCCAGAGATCCCGACATCCCCAAGATCCTGATCCCACAGATCCCAATCCCAAAGATCCCGAAGATCCTGATCCCAGAGATCCTGATCCCAGAGATCCCGATCCCAAAGCTCCTGATCCCAGAGATCCTGATCCCAGAGATCCCGAAGATCCTGATCCCAGAGATCCCGATCTCAGAGATCCCAAAGATCCCAATCCCAGAGATCCTGATCCCAGAGATCCTGATCCCAAAGATCCCGATCCCAGAGATCCTGATCCCAAAGCTCCTGATCCCAGAGATCCCGATCCCAGAGATCCCGATCCCAAAGGTCCCAATTCTGAAGACCCTGATCCCAGAGATCCCGATCCCAGAGATCCCGATCCCAGAGATCCCGATCCCAAAGGTCCCGATTCTGAAGACCCTGATCCCAGAGATCCCGATCCCAGAGCTCCCGACATCCCCAAGATCCCGATCCTCAAGATCCCAATCCCGAAGATCCCGATCCCAGAGATCCCGATCCCAAAGATCCCAATTCCAAAGCTCCTGATCTCAAAGATCCTGATTCCAAAGATCCCGATCCCAAAGATCCTGATCCCAGAGAACCCGATCTCAAAGATCGTGATCCCAAACATCCTGATCCCAAAGACTCTGATCTCAAAGCTCCTGAGATCCCAATGCTCCTGATCCCAAAGATCCCAATCCCAAAGATCTGGACCCCAAAGATCCCGATCCCAAATATCTCGATCCCAAAGCTCCTGATCCCAAAGATCCTGATCCCGAAGATCCCAATCCTGAAGATCCCAATCCCAGAGATCCCGATCCTGAAGATCCTGATCCCAAAGCTCCCGATCCCGAAGATCCCGATCCCAAAGATCTCGATCCCAAAGATCCCAATCCCAAAGATCTTGATCCCAAAGATCTCGATCCCAAAGATCCCAATCCAGAAGATCCCGATCCCAGAGATCCCGATCCCAAAGATCCCATCCCAAATATCCCAATCCCAAATATCCTGATTCCAAAGATCCCGATCCCAAAGCTCCCGATCTCAAAGATCCCAACCCCAGAGATCCCAATCCCAAAGATCCCGGTCCCAAAGCTCCTGATCCCAAAGCTCCTGATCCCAAAGATCCGATTCCAAAGATCCTGATCCCAAAGATCCCGATTCCAAAGATCCTAATCCCAAAGATCCCAATCCCAGAGATCCTGATCCCAAAGATCCCAACCCCAGAGATCCCGATCCCAAACATCCCAATCTCAAAGATCCCGATCACAAAGATCTGGATCCCAGAGATCCTGATCCTAAAGATCCCGATCCCAAAGCTCCTGATCCCAAAGATCCTCATTCCAAAGATCCCGATCCCAAATATCCTGATCCCAAAGATCTTAACCCTAGAGATCCCAATAACGAACATCCCAATCTGAAAGATCCTGATCCCAGAGATCCCAATCCCAAAGATGCTGATCACAAACATCCCGATCCCAAAGATCCCAATCTCAAAGATCCTGACCCCAGAGATCCCAATCTCAAGGATCCCGATCCCAGAGATCCTGATCCCAAAGATCCTGAGATCCCAAAGATCTTGATCCCAAAGCTCCCGATCTGAAATATCCCAATCCCAGAGATCCCAATCCCAAAGCTCCCGATCAGAAGATCCCGATTCCAAATATCTCGATCCCAAAGATCCTGATCCCAAAGATCCTGATTCCAAAGATCCCAATCCCAAAGATTCCGATCCCAGAGATCCCGATCCCAAAGATCCTAATCCCAAAAATCCCGATCCCAAAGATCCTGATCACAAAGATCCTGATCCTGGGATCTTGGGAATGGGATGGGATTTTGGGAATGAGATGGGAATTTGGGAATGGGATGGGATCCTGGAAATGGGATGGGATCTTGGGAATGGGATGGGAACTTGGGAATGGGATGGGAACTTAGGAATGAGATGTTATCTTGGGAATGAGATGGGATCTTGGGAACGGGATAGGATCTTGGGGATGGGATCTTGGGAATGGGATGGGAACTTGGGAAAGGGATGGGAACTTGGGAACGGGATGGGATCTTGGAGATGGGATCTTGGGGATGGGATCTTGTGAACAGGATGGGAACTTGGGAACGGGATGGGATCTTGGGAATGGGATGGGAACTTGAAAACAGGATGGGATCTTGGGAACGGATGGGATCTTGGGGATGGGATCTTGTGAACAGGATGGGATCTTGGGAAAGGGATGGGATCTTGGGAATGGGATGGGATCTTGGGAATGAGATGGGATCTTGGGAACGGATGGGATCTTGGGGATGGGATCTTGTGAACAGGATGGGATCTTGGGAAAGGGATGGGATCTTGGGGATGGGATCTTGGGAACGGGATGGGATCTTGGGGATGGGATCTTGGGAAAGGGATGGGATCTTGGGGATGGGATCTTGGGAACAGGATGGGATCTTGGGGATGGGATCTTGGGAATGGGATCTTGGGGATGGGATCTTGGGAACAGGATGGGATCTTGGGAACAGGATGGGATCTTGGGAATGGAATCTCGGGAAGTTCCTCCCCCTGAGGCTGCCGGGCCACTGGAAGTGTCCAAGGATGCCGGAGGGGACTGGGAGCCGCCGGCTCCATCGGGAAGCATCCAAGGGCTGGAAGCGGAGCAGCTTCCGGGGCCATCCCAAGCCACCCCATTGCATGCTTCCCAGGTGACATTCCCGAGCGACCCAAGGCTGCAGCTCCTTGGGAATCATCCCCCCACTTCTCCCATTGGAGCATCCCAAGGGATGGGCTGGGATCCCTCACCCCCACTCCACGACGTGGGCTTCGTAGTCCCAGTACTCGCGGGGCCGCTGCGTGTTGACGTCGGCATAGACCCGGGCCCGGCTCGGAACGGGCCCTGCCATGATCCCGTGGGAATGGCGAGCTCATCCTGCAACACAGACAGGAGCTGGGATCACACCTGGAACGGGAACGGGGATACAGGAGCTGGGATCACACCTGGAACAGGGATACAGGAGGGGGATCACACCTGGAACAGGGATACAGGAGGGGGATCACACCTGGAACAGGGATACAGGAGGGGGATCACACCTGGAACAGGGATACAGGAGGGGGATCACACCTGGAACAGGGATACAGGAGGGGGATCAGGGCTGGAACAGGGATACAGGAGGGGGATCACACCTGGAACAGGGATACAGGAGGGGGGATCACACCTGGAACAGGGATACAGGAGGGGGATCACACCTGGAACAGGGATACAGGAGGGGGATCACACCTGGAACAGGGATACAGGAGGGGGATCACACCTGGAACAGGGATACAGGAGGGGGATCACACCTGGAACAGGGATACAGGAGGGGGATCACACCTGGAACAGGGATACAGGAGGGGGATCAGGGCTGGAACAGGGATACAGGAGGGGGATCACACCTGGAACAGGGATACAGGAGGGGGATCAGGGCTGGAACAGGGATACAGGAGGGGGATCACACCTGGAACAGGGATACAGGAGGGGGATCACACCTGGAACAGGGATACAGGAGGGGGATCACACCTGGAACAGGGATACAGGAGGGGGATCAGGGCTGGAACAGGGATACAGGAGGGGGATCACACCTGGAACAGGGATACAGGAGGGGGATCACACCTGGAACAGGGATACAGGAGAGGGATCACACATGGAACAGGGATACAGGAGGGGGATCACACCTGGAACAGGGATACAGGAGGGGGATCACACCTGGAACAGGGATACAGGAGGGGGGATCACACCTGGAACAGGGATACAGGAGGGGGATCACACATGGAACAGGGATACAGGAGGGGGATCACACCTGGAACAGGGATACAGGAGGGGGATCAGGGCTGGAACAGGGATACAGGAGGGGGATCACACCTGGAACAGGGATACAGGAGGGGGATCACACCTGGAACAGGGATACAGGAGGGGGATCACACCTGGAACAGGGATACAGGAGGGGGATCAGGGCTGGAACAGGGATACAGGAGGGGGATCACACCTGGAACAGGGATACAGGAGGGGGATCACACCTGGAACAGGGATACAGGAGAGGGATCACACATGGAACAGGGATACAGGAGGGGGATCACACCTGGAACAGGGATACAGGAGGGGGATCAGGGCTGGAACAGGGATACAGGAGGGGGATCACACCTGGAACAGGGATACAGGAGGGGGATCACACCTGGAACAGGGATACAGGAGGGGGGATCAGGGATGGAACAGGGATACAGGAGGGGGATCACACCTGGAACAGGGATACAGGAGGGGGATCACACATGGAACAGGGATACAGGAGGGGGATCACACCTGGAACAGGGATACAGGAGGGGGATCACACCTGGAACAGGGATACAGGAGGGGGATCAGGGATGGAACAGGGATACAGGAGGGGGATCACACCTGGAACAGGGATACAGGAGGGGGATCACACCTGGAACAGGGATACAGGAGGGGGGATCACACCTGGAACAGGGATACAGGAGGGGGATCAGGGCTGGAACAGGGATATAGGAGGGGGATCACACCTGGAACAGGGATACAGGAGGGGGATCACACCTGGAACAGGGATACAGGAGGGGGATCAGGGCTGGAACAGGGATACAGGAGGGGGGATCACACCTGGAACAGGGATACAGGAGGGGGATCAGGGCTGGAACAGGGATACAGGAGGGGGATCACACCTGGAACAGGGATACACGAGGGGGATCACACCTGGAACAGGGATACAGGAGGGGGATCAGGGCTGGAACAGGGATACAGGAGGGGGATCAGAGCACACCGGGGTCATGGACACATAAGGAAGGACCTGGATGGATCCCAGTGGATCCCAAGGATCCCTTTGCTGGTCCCAGCTCTCTCTGCAGCACTGAGGCTCCCAATGGGGCCGTTACTTCCATCCCCATCCCCATCCCCACTGCCCAGTGACCCCTGGGATGAGCTGGGTGGATACAATGGGAGAAGCTGGTGCCAGGATGGTGCTGAGGCCCTGGGGCTGGGCACACGCATGGGGAGCCCAGCTCCATCCAATCCCATCCCATCCCAGCTCCATCCCATCCTATCCCATTCCAGCTCCATCCCATCCCATATCTCATCCCATTCCAGCTCCATCCCATCCCAGCTCCATCCCATCCCATTCCAGATCCATCCCATCCCATTCCAGCCCCATCCCTTCCTATTCCAGCCCCATCCCATCCTATCCCATCCCATTCCCATCCCATCCCACCCCACCCCATTCCAGCTCCATCCCATCCATCCCATCCCATTCCATTCAAGCCCCATCCCATCCTATCCCATCCCATTGCCATCCAATCCTGTCCCACCCCATCCCATTCCAGCTCCATCCCATCCTATCCCATCCCATTCTAGTGCCATCCCATCCTATCCCATCCCAGCTCCATCCCATCCCATTCCAGCTCTATCCCATCCTATCTCATCCTATCCCATCCTATCTCATCCTATCCCATCCCATCCCATTCCAGCCCCATCCCATCCTATCCCATCCCATTCTAGTGCCATCCCATCCTATCCCATCCCATTCCAGCTCTATCCCATCCTATCTCATCCTATCCCATCCCATCCCATTCCAGTCCCATCCCATCCCATCCTATCCCATCCCATTCCAGCCCCATCCTATCCCATCCAGTCCTATCCCATCCCATCCGATCCTATCCCATCCCATCTCATTCTAGTGCCATCCCATCCTATCCCATCCCATCCCATCCTATCCCATCCCATTCCCATCCCAGCTCCATCTCATCCCATTCCAGCTCTATCCCATCCTATCTCATCCTATCCCATCCCATCCCATTCCAGCCCCATCCCATCCTATCCCATCCCATTCTAGTGCTATCCCATCCTATCCCATCCCAGCTCCATCCCATCCCATTCCAGTCCCATCCCATCCTATCCCATCCCATCCCATCCCATTCCCATCCCATCCTATCCCATCCCATCCTATCCCATCCCAGCTCCATCTCATCCCATTCCAGCTCTATCCCATCCTATCTCATCCTATCCCATCCTATCTCATCCTATCCCATTCCAGCCCCATCCCATCCTATCCCATCCCATTCCCATCCCAGCTCCATCCCCCCCCATCCCATTCCCCCCCCCGTTCTCGCTGCCCTCATCCAGCTCCGGCTCCCCCCTTCACCCCGGGACCCCCCAACCCCCCCCCCAGCCCCCCAGGATCGGGCCCACTCCCATGGGGTGTGGCAGGGGCCGGGAGACCCCGTACCGGGGCTGGGGGGTCCCCACAGCCCCTCAGGGCCCCGCGGTGGGGCCCGGACCGCGGCCCCCCCCCCCCCCCGCACCCCATAGATTCCACTCCCCCCCCCCAGCGCTGCCCCACACCCCCACCCCATAGCCCCTCCCCCCCCCCCCCCGCCCCTCACCGTGGCCCCGGTCGGGGCCGGCTCCGCTCCGGGGCCGCTTCCCCTCAGCGCGGCCAAGATGGCGGCGGCGGCGGCCGCGAGCGGGCCCGGATCCCGCCGGGCCGGCAGGGGGCGCCAGGAGACAGCGCGCTGACGTCATCACGCCGGGGTCATGACCCGGAGCTCAGCGGTGAGCGCGGTACCGGTGCTTACTGGGATGGGTCACCGGTGCTTACTGGTTATACTGGGATGGGTCACCGGTGCTTACTGGTTATACTGGGATGGGTCACTGGTGCCTTACTGGTTATACTGGGATGGGTCACTGGTGCCTTACTGGTTATACTGGGATGGGTCACTGGTGCTTACTGGTTATACTGGGATGGGTCACCGGTGCCTTACTGGTTATACTGGGATGGGTCATTGGTGCCTTACTGGTTATACTGGGATGGGTCACTGGTGCTTACTGGTTATACTGGGATGGGTCACTGGTACCTTACTGGTTATACTGGGATGGGTCATTGGTACCTTACTGGTTATACTGGGATGGGTCACCGGTGCTTACTGGTTATACTGGGATGGGTCACCGGTGCTTACTGGTTATACTGGGATGGGTCACCGGTGCTTACTGGTTATACTGGGATGGGTCACCGGTGCTTACTGGTTATACTGGGATGGGTCACCGGTGCTTACTGGTTATACTGGGATGGGTCACCGGTGCCTTACTGGTTATACTGGGATGGGTCATTGGTACCTTACTGGTTATACTGGGATGGGTCACCGGTGCTTACTGGTTATACTGGGATGGGTCACCGGTGCCTTACTGGTTATACTGGGATGGGTCACCGGTGCTTACTGGTTATACTGGGATGGGTCGCCGGTGCCTTACTGGTTATACTGGGATGGGTCATTGGTGCCTTACTGGTTATACTGGGATGGGTCATTGGTACCTTACTGGTTATACTGGGATGGGTCACTGGTGCCTTACTGGTTATACTGGGATGGGTCACCGGTGCTTACTGGTTATACTGGGATGGGTCATTGGTGCTTACTGGTTCTACTGGGATGGGTCACCGGTGCTTACTGGTTATACTGGGATGGGTCACCGGTGCTTACTGGTTATACTGGGATGGGTCACCGGTGCCTTACTGGTTATACTGGGATGGGTCACTGGTCCTTACTGGTTATACTGGGATGGGTCATTGGTGCTTACTGGTTATACTGGGATGGGTCATTGGTACCTTACTGGTTATACTGGGATGGGTCATTGGTGCTTACTGGTTCTACTGGGATGGGTCACCGGTGCTTACTGGTTATACTGGGATGGGTCATTGGTGCCTTACTGGTTATACTGGGATGGGTCACCGGTGCTTACTGGTTATACTGGGATGGGTCACTAGTACCTTACTGGTTATACTGGGATGGGTCACTGCTGCTTACTGGTTATACTGGAATGGGTCACTGGTGCTTACTGGTTATACTGGGATGGGTCATTGGTGCTTACTGGTTCTACTGGGATGGGTCACCGGTGCTTACTGGTTATACTGGGATGGGTCACCGGTGCTTACTGGTTATACTGGGATGGGTCACTGGTACCTTACTGGTTATACTGGGATGGGTCACCGGTGCCTTACTGGTTATACTGGGATGGGTCACCGGTGCTTACTGGTTATACTGGGATGGGTCACCGGTACCTTACTGGTTATACTGGGATTGGTCACCGGTGCCTTACTGGTTATACTGGGATGGGTCACTGGTGCCTTACTGGTTATACTGGGATGGGTCATTGGTGCTTACTGGTTCTACTGGGATGGGTCACCGGTGCTTACTGGTTATACTGGGATGGGTCACCGGTGCTTACTGGTTATACTGGGATGGGTCACTGGTACCCTACTGGTTATACTGGGATGGGTCATTGGTGCCTTACTGGTTATACTGGGATGGGTCACCGGTGCTTACTGGTTATACTGGGATGGGTCACCGGTGCCTTACTGGTTATACTGGGATGGGTCACCGGTGCTTACTGGTTATACTGGGATGGGTCACTGGTACCTTACTGGTTATACTGGGATGGGTCACCGGTGCCTTACTGGTTATACTGGGATGGGTCACCGGTGCTTACTGGTTATACTGGGATGGGTCACTGGTGCCTTACTGGTTATACTGGGATGGGTCATTGGTGCTTACTGGTTCTACTGGGATGGGTCACCGGTGCTTACTGGTTATACTGGGATGGGTCACCGGTACCTTACTGGTTATACTGGGATTGGTCACCGGTGCCTTACTGGTTATACTGGGATGGGTCACTGGTGCCTTACTGGTTATACTGGGATGGGTCACCGGTGCTTACTGGTTATACTGGGATGGGTCACCGGTGCTTACTGGTTATACTGGGATGGGTCACTGGTACCCTACTGGTTATACTGGGATGGGTCATTGGTGCCTTACTGGTTATACTGGGATGGGTCACTGGTACCCTACTGGTTATACTGGGATGGGTCATTGGTGCCTTACTGGTTATACTGGGATGGGTCACCGGTGCTTACTGGTTATACTGGGATGGGTCACCGGTGCCTTACTGGTTATACTGGGATGGGTCACCGGTGCCTTACTGGTTATACTGGGATGGGTCACCGGTGCTTACTGGTTATACTGGGATGGGTCACTGGTGCCTTACTGGTTATACTGGGATGGGTCATTGGTGCTTACTGGTTCTACTGGGATGGGTCACTGGTGCTTACTGGTTATACTGGGATGGGTCACCGGTGCTTACTGGTGATACTGGGATGGGTCACCGGTGCCTTACTGGTTATACTGGGATGGGTCATTGGTACCTTACTGGTTATACTGGGATGGGTCACAGGTGCTTACTGGTTATACTGGGATGGGTCATTGGTGCCTTACTGGTTATACTGGGATGGGTCACTGGTGCTTACTGGTTATACTGGGATGGGTCATTGGTGCCTTACTGGTTATACTGGGATGGGTCATTGGTGCTTACTGGTTATATGGGATGGGTCACCGGTGCTTACTGGTTATACTGGGATGGGTCACCGGTGCTTACTGGTTATACTGGGATGGGTCACTGGTACCTTACTGGTTCTACTGGGATGGGTCACTGGTGCCTTACTGGTTATACTGGGATGGGTCACCGGTCCTTACTGGTTATACTGGGATGGGTCATTGGTGCCTTACTGGTTATACTGGGATGGGTCACCGGTGCTTACTGGTTATACTGGGATGGGTCACTGGTCCTTACTGGTTATACTGGGATGGGTCACCGGTGCTTACTGGTTATACTGGGATGGGTCACTGGTGCCTTACTGGTTATACTGGGATGGGTCACCGGTGCCTTACTGGTTATACTGGGATGGGTCACTGGTCCTTACTGGTTATACTGGGATGGGTCACCGGTGCTTACTGGTTATACTGGGATGGGTCACTGGTGCCTTACTGGTTATACTGGGATGGGTCACCGGTGCTTACTGGTTATACTGGGATGGGTCACTGGTCCTTACTGGTTATACTGGGATGGGTCACCGGTGCTTACTGGTTATACTGGGATGGGTCACCGGTGCTTACTGGTTATACTGGGATGGGTCACTGGTCCTTACTGGTTATACTGGGATGGGTCACCGGTGCTTACTGGTTATACTGGGATGGGTCATTGGTACCTTACTGGTTATACTGGGATGGGTCACTGGTGCTTACTGGTTATACTGGGATGGGTCACTGGTCCTTACTGGTTATACTGGGATGGGTCACCGGTGCTTACTGGTTATACTGGGATGGGTCATTGGTACCTTACTGGTTATACTGGGATGGGTCACCGGTGCCTTACTGGTTATACTGGGATGGGTCACTGGTCCTTACTGGTTATACTGGGATGGGTCACCGGTGCTTACTGGTTATACTGGGATGGGTCACTGGTGCCTTACTGGTTATACTGGGATGGGTCACCGGTGCTTACTGGTTATACTGGGATGGGTCACTGGTCCTTACTGGTTATACTGGGATGGGTCACCGGTGCTTACTGGTTATACTGGGATGGGTCACCGGTGCTTACTGGTTATACTGGGATGGGTCACTGGTCCTTACTGGTTATACTGGGATGGGTCACCGGTGCTTACTGGTTATACTGGGATGGGTCATTGGTACCTTACTGGTTATACTGGGATGGGTCACTGGTGCTTACTGGTTATACTGGGATGGGTCACTGGTCCTTACTGGTTATACTGGGATGGGTCACCGGTGCTTACTGGTTATACTGGGATGGGTCATTGGTACCTTACTGGTTATACTGGTTATACGTCACTGGTCCTTACTGGTTATACTGGGATGGGTCAGGATCGATCCCTCCGCTCCCGGTGCGGAGCCGCAGCGCCGGGGCCGGTGCCAGCCCCGTTCCCGGTCCCGGATTGGCTGCCCCGCCCCCCGCCCCCCCCCCATCCTCCGGCTCCTCCCCCCCCCCCTTCCCCCCCCCCCCCCCCCCCCCAAGGGTTTTAACGGCCCCGGGAGGCCCCGGCCCCAACCCCGCAGCCGCCAGCACCGGAACCGCAGCATGGGGGGGGGCCGGGGGTGAGCCCGCACCGGGGACAGCGGGGACGAAGGGACGGGGAACGGGAGCGGCGGGACCATTGGGACACCGGGACACAGGAACGGGAGCAGCGGGATGGGGAACGGGAGCGGCGGATGGGGAACGGGAGCGGCGGATGGGGAAGGGGAGCGGCGGGACACAGGAACGGGAGCTGCGGGATGGGGAACGGGAGCGGCGGGACCATTGGGACACCGGGACACAGGAACGGGAGCGGCGGGATGGGGAACGGGAGCAGCGGGACACAGGAACGGGAGCAGCGGGACCATTGGGACACCGGGATGCGGGGATGGGGACCGGGAGCACCGGGATGCGGGGACACCGGGATACAGGACCGGGAGCACCGGGATGCGGGGACACCGGGATGCGGGGATGGGGACCGGGAGCACCGGGATGCGGGGACACCGGGATACAGGAACGGGAGCCCCGGGACACGGGGATGGGGGAACGGCGACACCGGGGACAACGGGGACACGGGGGACAACGGGGATAGAGGGACACAGGAAC